AATTTGGAGAAAGTTGTTTTGGTAGCTCTAATGGATACACCTTGATGTGTATTTGCATAATCTCCCATTGAACATTCTGCATAGTCTAGGTGATTTTCTAAATGTTTCTGTTCTTTCAATATAGAAAGCTAATGCTCTACAAACATCCAATATGGGGAGCGAGAGCTCCTTCCCATCTGCACGTGGCTTATAGGTAAGTAAATAAGTTGGTTTAAAAGAAAGGGGAAAGTGACTCTGGGTATGAACTTGGGATGTGGTCGTAGGGTTACTTTATCTTTAAAGAATGTTGTGTAAGGTGAGTGTGCCATTAGGGCACCTAATTCTCCCACCATCCAGTGGATCTGATGACAATGAGGAACACCACCTTCTTGGGTAAGTACAACAAAGATTGAGTTGCAAGATTTTCAAACAGCTTTCCCTTGCATCTGCATAGAACAAGGTTTAAGCTCTACATTGGTGTAAGGTTTTTTAATATGGGAAAAGTGTTTTCAGCACCTTTAAGCAAGTGTTTAGTTGTCAAATCAGCAAATACAGTAACTCCATCCCCCTTGTCATGGAACGAGGTAATAGCAGCCAGGTGTACTCTGATGGAGTTTGTAGATAAAAAAAATCGGGGCTAAGTCCTCGTACATAGTCTAGCATCCTCAGTAGGGAGGACAACTCTGACAAGATGTGTTGATCTTGACACCAGATACAAAATCATTTGCATCTTATGGATATATAAGTCTTTCCTGTACTTATTCTCCAATTGTTCCGTAATATATCTTTTACTTCCTCAAACCAGGCGTTCTTGACCCCCAGTCAGACATGGAGTAACCAGGCCTTAAGGTGGAGTACGGTGAGGCTGCTGTGATGGACAGTTCTTGCATCTTGTGACAGAAGGTGAAGTACTAAGAGAAGGGTCTGAGGCAGTTTCACTGCCATCCGACAAGTACTGAAAACATGTTTCGCTGAGCCATGTGGACACTATAATAATGATCTTGGATTTGTCCTGATTAATCCTGTGAATGATTCATCAGTTGTGCCTCCCATTTCTAATCAGATTGTACCTTTAGATAAATATTCCCCTTAAATTTACTCTTGTGTTTGTGTACCATTTCGTATATAATCCATTTAATTGCTTTTCTCTGGATTATCAACCATCTTCCATCTTGATGAAAAGAGTCTTATAAACATTACCAGGAAAGTAAAAGCCTTTAACTATTTTTAAGGAATTATACACTCTACAAGGACTAAAGGAACTGTTCCATCTTCTCTGTCTAGAAAGCACTTAGTAGGGACTACCAGAAACGAACACTATGTATTTTTATTAGCAAATGTCACTACTGATCTTGTTAGAGGCCACTTAATGGTCTTATCAAAAACAGGGTGCATAGTATGGTTTGACAACTCACCGCTGCAGATATTTGCAGAAACACTGGAGCTCTTGGAGGGTCTCCTTAGCACTCTGGAAAATCTCCTCTTCCATAAACAGCTGCATTACATTAGCACAGACTTCCTCTGAACAACGGGCAATGCGGGCTTTACGGTCTCTTTCCAAAGCATACCTGATACAGAATGAAACAAAATGAGATTCCAAGGCAGAAATGCCCACTAAGCAACACACTTGAGTAAATGCTAAAAACAGTTCTAGTATACAAGGTAGATATTTACAGCACAGGTAAGTAATCATTTTAAATATGACAGCCACAAGATTTCTAAACCACTATACTTCTAAGTTTTTCCTTTGAAAACAAAAGCATAAGTCTCTCTTATCTAGGGGGTGTGTCTAGACTACAGGGTTTTGTCGACAAAAGTGGATTCAAGATTCGATGTATCCAGATGTTACAAGTAAAAAGCATATGATTCATAACGAATGCACAACATATGATTCATAAAGAATGCACAACATCCACAGATGGCAGATTTTTATGACACATCTGCAATCAGATTTGCCAATCTAGGATTGGCTTAGTTGCTCACCAACAGCATCATAGAAGATGAGATCCATTTATCAACGGCTAAGTCCATCATCATCATTAATTACATCTAGCGAAAGTTAGCTTCTTTATTGGATAGAGAGATTGCTACTGACAGATACAAAACATTCAAAATTTACTAGAAGCTGAACATGCATTTTCCTCTGGTACATGGCCACCCTTTGCCCTCACCCTGCACTTGCTTTCTACAGAAGTCTAGCTTCAGATGTAATTACATACACACCACAAAGATACAGACCAAAGGCACTTAGGGTATGTCTACACTGCCACCCTAGTTCGAACTAAGGTGGCTAATGTAGGCATTTGAACTTGGAAATGAAGCCCGGGATTTAAATATCCCGGGCTTCATTTGCATGTTCCCAGGCAGGCGCCATTTTTAAATGCCCGTAGTTCGAACTACCTGCCCATGGCTACACGCGGCATGGACTAGGTAGTTCGAATTAAAGCTCTTAATTTGAACTACCGTTATTCCTCCTGCAAGGAGGTTTAACAGTAGTTCGAATTAGGAGCTTTAATTCAAACTACCTAGTCCGTGCCGGGTGTAGCCGCGGGCAGATAGTTCGAACTACGGGCATTTAAAAATGGCGCCTGCCTGGGAACATGCAAATGAAGCCCAAATCCCGGGGTTCATTTGCAAGTTCAAATGCCTACATTAGCCAGCCTAGTTTGAACTAGGGTGGCACAGTGTAGACATACCCTAACTGAGCTCCAGTCTGGAGTTGCATAAACTACCTCTAACGTTTCCTTTGAGACTGCTATTGAACAATCACAAGGGAAAGCAAGCCAATGGCAGCCAAGTTCTTTCTGGATCAATTCCAGTAGCAAAGAAGAAAGAATCAGTGCTGCAGCAGTAAGGGACAGTGCCTTCCCTTGCAGATCTAAGAGGCTCAATCTTCCTTTCTCCTGAATGTTAATTGATCCAGGAAGTCTGTATCAAAGATTTGACATCCTAGCCCCCAGTTAAAGATTTGAGAGTTAACGATATATAATATTTTTAAAAATTCCAAACTTCCCAATATGTCACTAAAAAGTAAAAAGGATGAGCCTTCATGTTTTCCATATCCCTTTGCAGATATTTAAACATACAATAGATTTTTTTTTATTATTTTTTTAGAACCTACTGATGAACTAAATTGTGCACAGTGAATTGTTTGAAAATTTAACCAACTGATGTCTTTTACAATTCACCATGTATTGGGTCCAACAAAAAGAGCAGCGAGATGTCCGCCACTGCTTGCCAGAGTCTTGCTTTCTCAGGAAAGAAGGTGTATTATGCAGGCATTGTGTTATACACCATACTGTTCATTCTACATAGCTAATATCACACTTACTTTAATTCACTAGCCGAAATTTCTTGAATACCTTCCTTTAGTACTTCTTCTGTCAGCTCCGCACCCAGTGATTGGCTCAACTGTTTTATCAACTGTTCTCTTTCCTGCTTCTGTCTAAAGGATGAAAACAAATTACACACAAGTAAGGACTGGCGAAACCTGTTTGATGATCTGTAACACGTACGTGCCACATCTACACCACTGATGATTGAGACACAGAATTAACCTCCATGTTGTTTAGTTGAATTTTTCATGATTTACTTTCTGTAAGCAGAAGGCAAACCTTCTGCAGCATGACCAGCTTTGCGGGAGTGAGACCTATTCTCCCCTACCGACTGATCAAGAGACTGCCTCTTACAATACTTAACGGGAGATGACTGCTAAGCTACTGATAGGACAGTTGGCAGTGTGAGAGATAAGGGGTTGCAATCCTTTTCAGCCCCTACAAGCCAGAAAGGAGGAGGAAGGTGCAGCCCAGTTTTCAGGGTCCAGTTTCACACTCAGTGGCATGTGGAGGCAGGGGACAACTCCTGCTGCATATCCACCCAGTGTGTTCTAGAGGGAGAAGACATATAATATATGGACAAGATGAAAATTGTCTGTACTGTTCTATGAATTACTGTAGGCTGGTTTCTTTATGGGAATGTTTATTCTACAAATGTATAAAACAAAATAATTAAGAGGTAACTATAGATACGTTAACCAGAAAAGGAGTGCCAGTACATCCCAACGTACTTGGCAAGACCGTTGCTCTGTTATTTTTGTCAAGGATAGAAAGATGTGAAGGTCCCGAATAGGGATGTGAATGAGTAAACAAGTTAACTCGATACCCAATAAGCATCACCCTTGCCGGGTGATGAACATGGGGTTCATAGTGCTAGGAGAAGCAGCAGCTGGCACCAAGAGATTCTACCTACACAATTCTTCTCACGCTCTTTGCTACATAGCAGAGAAAGAGCTAACACAATCCTGGGAAATTTTACACATCTGTAACAATATAGTTTTTCTGTAGCCATATTGGAAAGCATGTAGCCATATTGGAAGGCCTAAACTAAAGCCTTCCTCTGCAGCCAGACTGAAGAGCAGCAGTCATTAGCTGTAAAGCCCAGAGTCGCATACTCATATTCCATCTAAATTGCATTAAAATAGTGTGAAACTAGGCTCTGAGAAGGGGATCTTGTCCTAACGGCCCCTACTGTCACCAGATAAAGAAATCAAAATGGGTAAAGAAATGTTAATTAGCTAACAGCATTTCATCTGGAAAAACTGCTTATCAATAGTTGTGGAATCCTCATTATATGATTATTGTCCTCACTTTCTTATTGTTTGTCTGTGATATCTCACTCTGGTTTGTAACTGTTTCTGTCCACTGTATAATTAATTTTGTTAGGTGTAAATCAACTAAGGTGGTTGGGTCTGATGGGCTAGGTAATTCTGTTACAATATGTTATGATTGGTTGGTAAAATTATACTAAAATAATTAGTTATAGTATAGCTAAGCAGGACTCAAGTTTTGCTATATAAACTGGAGTCCAAAGCTATATCTAGATTATATCCCTCTGTCGACAGAGGAATATAAATGAGGCACTTTGAAAGTGCAAATGACGCAGGGATTTAAATATCCTGCGCTTCATTTGCATAATCACATCATGGCGCTCTTTTGAACAAGTGCCATTTCAAAAGTAAAACCACAGTCTAGACGCGGTTCTTTCGAAAATGGCAGGCTTTTTCAAAAGATCCTGTACTCCTCTAGACTGTGGTTTTACTTCAGAAATGGCGCTTGTTCAAAAGAGCGCCATGCCGCGATTATACAAATGAAGTACAGGATACTGAAATCCCCACTTCATTTGCACTTTGGAAGTGCCTCATTTACATCCCTCTGTCGACAGAGGGATGTAATCTAGACATAGTCCAAGAAGAAGACAAGCAAGCAGAAGTGAAAGAAGGAAAAAGCAAAAGAAAGAAGGAAAAGGAAAGAAAAAGGAACACTAAGAAGGAAGAGGGAAGACATAGAAGAACTACTCACCTCCAAGACACAGCCTAAGACCAGAGCAGCCAGACTCCTCTGCACAACCGTGATGTGGAGCAGCTAAGATCTAGAGAGACTTATCTTGCCTGGCCAGTAGGAGAAGTCTGCCTGCCTTTATCAGAATTCGTGAGCATGACATAGTGTGCTTAGCATGTGTATTCTGTTTGCTTGGGAATTGTCAATAAATAGAGAATAAGAATATTACTGTGTAAGGCTCCTCCAGTGGCAAAATATCCTGCAAACCGTCAAGAAGTTACGCCCTGAGCCTTAGGAATTGGGTAAGGGTGGGTGTGTAAATTAACAGAGTTACACCCTGAGCCCTAGGAACTGGGTAAAGGTGTGTGTTCCTAAAGTGTGGAAGGGATAGAGAAATTTGCGCAGGTAACACTCCAAGAAGAAAGATCACTGACAGTATTTAACAGACAAGACAGTGACACTACTGCTGGAAGTCTATGTGCAACCTCCTTGCCCAGTAAGATGCTCAGGGGTCCTAGTCAAATAAATAACCTTTGAAATAGATAACGACTGCCTGTGAATTCAAATCAAGGCAGTGACTGAGGCTCAGACTGAGAGGAAGAGGTTGCAGGAGTACACATTAGGTTGCTCTGTCCTGTCGTAAGGCTGAAGAAATGACTAGGACAATCAGGACCCAACTAAATTTTCAAGGAAGGTTTAAGGAATATGCAGATAGGGTTTCTGTTCTTTAACCTCATCCTCTCTGTTTATTCCATTCCATAGTAGTCACAGGCTCACCAGAAAGTCAGTTATAGGTTACAAATATAGCTGGATCTGCTCAGGGAACTCACATGGGGCGGAGATGTTGTGTCCTTCAGACCCAGTCTCAGACTGGGGTGAGGTGTGGGGTACCGTGCTTAGCCCTGTCACTTGGAAGCGTTGCACATGGAATGTCATAATGAGAGGGCAAAGGTAAGCTCACCCTGTGCCTTGGTAGCCATATTCTTAACTTTGGGTGTCATTATTAAGTATCACTCTAATTCAATCAGTTTTAAATAAATATAATATAATAACCTTATAAAAAAAGATTTTACAATTTACAACTGAAATATATGAATATATTAGAGAATACTTAAAGAGAAAAATACACACTCCTAGGTAAATTTAGGCCTTTTAACATAAAGAAGCCATCTGAGTACCAACCATCCTGCGACTTGATTCATGCTAACAACCTGAAAGTAAGGGCAAGTACAGGTTGGACCTTCCTGGTCCAGAATGAGGGGCTTTGCCAGACCAGGGGAGGGCCTCCGTTATTGACCTCCCATGCCTCCCACACCTCCCTAATGCTGGCTGCTTCCAACCTCTAGCTGGCCCCAATGGTCCTGAACTCAGTCTCCAGCACCAGCCCCCCTGCCACCAGCCCAGCAGGGGCTCCCTAGGGCCAGAGCTCCCTGACCGCTGGGGCCAAAGCTCCCTGCTGTGCCGCCTGCCCCCTGGCATGGGGCTCACACTGAACTGCCTGCCAAGGGGCTCCCACCAAGTTGCTGGTCCCCCTGATGCACTCCCAGCTTTGCTGCCAGACTTCCCTATCCCTGGGCTCAGTGGTCCAGCAACATCTGTCATCTGGATGTTGCCAGACCAGAGAGTCTCAGTTTAGGGAGGTACAACCGGTACGCCTATTACTAGGGATGTTAAGAAGAAAAATTGTGTTGACTACACAATTAATTGATACGGGCTAACACTCAGTCCTGGCTCCGTCAACTACTCATGCTGCAGCTGTGCACTGAAAGTAATTTAGGAGCCAAGTGGGCAGGTTGCCTGGCTCCTAAAGTACGTTTTTTGCAGAGCTACAGCGAGGGTAGCTTCTGGGACACGACACAAACCGGGACTAAGCAAGGCTGCCTGCCCACCTGGCTCCAAAATTACTTCCCCTGCAAAGCCACAGAAGGGATAGCTCCAGGAACCAGGCGCTAACCAGGACTGAACCATGCAGCCCTCTAAAAAAATTTGCTTTTGCTTATTGGTTCACCGTTTAATTGTCTGCACTATTGCATCCCTACCTATTACCAGTTCATTGAAAAATCCAGTCCCTCAAGTTTTCACCTGTTCATCTTACATATAATTCATTGATAAGAACCAAGACTACTCACTTCTCTTCTTCTGCTCTGCGTTTTTCCTCTTTGACTCGCTCTCTTTCTACACTGACCACATCTGCTGCGACTTGCCTGAGAATCTCCATCATCACTTCAGTCAAGAGCTCCTCCATGGTGGCATCAGAGGCACTACATAAAGAAAGGCAGCAGGTTTTGTGTTTTTCATTTCTATTAATAACATACTTCAGCTCAAACCCATTCTTACTCCCTAAATCTATTTATATCAGGCATATCAAAGACAATCCACTCAATGACTCTCCATCCAAGAGGCAACTCAGTGATCCACATTCTTGGCTACTATATATCAGCTGCAATTTATGACTTGACAGCCTACAATAACAAGGGTGGCAAGAAGTAAGGATCAGTGTTCCTTCTAAGCTGTGAACTTGTGCGGCCACTCAGGAGAAATTCAAATGCTGCTCGGCTGATTAGCAGAGCACCCACAACTAGGTTTTTGGTTTCTATTGGTGGGGTACATTTGCATATGCCTTGGTGCACATAAACTATTATTCTGAACATGGATGGAGATGATTAGAGGTAACTCTGATAAAGACTAGTGGATTTTCCGTAATAAAATGATTTATGGTAAGAAAACGTCTCTTTCACCCTTAAGGATTTCGTGATGGTGGAACTTAAGTTCTGTCTTAACTAAGACTGTGTCAATGTTTAAAAGACAACTACTGTAAATGCTCTAAAACCCACATGCTAATTTCGATTGTCTTGAATTATGCTGTGCCTCATTAAAATACAGGGTAGACCTAGTGGTCCAAATTTTGAAATAATGTGAGCAAGGTATTCCTATCATACTGCTATGACCCTAAAAACACCGCAGTGAGAGATGGCATACTCTTATGATATTTATCCAGAAGCGGCACTGAAATATCACTGAGAAACTAATCATCAATATACTTGCACGATGTAGGGACAGTTAACCCACATAGAGCTTCACAGATAAGCTGGAGATGTAACTAAAATGTGTTTCAATAAAGCATGTCGGGGGGATTGAGACACATTTTCTCCAAAGGAAAGAGGCCACTATCTCAAACCAAGAATGGCCAAATTCAATGGGCTATTCGTTTGTAATCAGAGGCTGCAGAAAAGTTATTCGCCAAATCTCACCAGCAGTGGAGGATCCAGCCTGGCGCCTATACCACACAGCAAAGAATCTACTCTAGGGAAGTTAACGGGTAACCGGTTAACTCATTACATGGTAAGCATCACCCTTACCAGGTAATGCTTCTGGGTAAGCTGTTAACCAGTGGCCTAGAGCAGCCTCCTGCCCAACATGCATACAAGACTGCTCCAGCCTGGCTGGATCTGCCACGCCGTGCCATGGGACACCCCAACCCTGCTGGACCCGCTACACCACAGCAGGGGGGCTGCTTCAACCAAGCCGGGGGGGGGCGGGCCCTGCTCCAACCTGGCTGGGTTCACTGTGCCATGCTGCAGAGGGGAGCGGTCCCCCATCTGTGGGATCCCACTTAACCAGTGAGACTGAACATTTAACATTCCATTTATATGGTTAACTTATTAACCAGGATTTTACATCCCTCATTTACACCCAGCAGGGAAAAAGAACTTTTCCTGGGAGGCCTTTCAGAAGTTTATTGGTCTGTAGAGAGGAAGAGAACCCCTAATTTAACTTTCACCTAAGGAAACAAATGAACTAAGCACACAGGTCTGTGAAGGGTCGTAGCTAAATAGTCAGCCATACTGGAAGAAAAGTGGTGAGAGAAAACTTCTGTGAATAAACAACTAATTTGTTAGGTTATAGAGAAGTCTGAGAAGTTTATTATTATTTTTGTTTATTTGTAATAATTTCTATCTTTATTCCTTCTACCTGATACCACTCCAACTGTTCTGTTATTAATAAATTTATTTTACTTTTACTATGAACCAACTCTGTGCTTTAACTGAAGCAGAGAGTGTTCATGCTAGCTGAGATAATAAGATGCTTTGGAGTGTCTCCTTAAAGGAGCAGCCAGTTTGACAGGGTTTTGTGGGTACTACAATATAGAAAGGCTAAATATTGCTGGGAGATACCTCTAAGGAACTCAAAAATTGGGCGTTACCGGTGGCTACCTGCTATACATAGTTTGGACAGGCTGAAGAGCTGACTGGCAATTCAAGAGGTTAGTGTGTCAGGGGGCCAACACATCACTCCATAGAGGCAAAACTCTCGCTTTCTGAGGCTAAGGGGGATGATCCATATCTCATTTCTGGGAACCCCAGCAGATTGTCACTACAACCTCCCCAAAAAGGCATGTTTACAAAATCACCTGCTTCTGATAATCTTTTTGTCCACAGCTGGTGATTCAAATGCCACTTTGACCCTCCCCAAGCTAATCTCACCCACGCAGAATTTAGTGCATAGCGCCAGCTGCCACTTTCGGCAAGCAAGACTGAACCCCTAATATAGTTCACTATTCCAACACGAGAACATTCAAACACTGGTTTTGAAAACCCAGTTTGATGAAGAGATCCTGCAAGAAGACTTGAGTTTTCAAAAAGTGTAGTTCTTCTGTGCTTCCTCAACAAATAAGGGTGCACCAAAGAGACATTTGCTCACTAAGCAGCATGGACGTAACAGAACTGTAAATGGGGGGAAACCGGGCATCTTCCCTTCCAGCAACATATTTTTGAGGGGACAATAGTGGAAAACACAGTTCCCCTGCAGCTACAGAGGTAAACACTGGGGCCTATTACTAGTTTGCCCTGGGGTTGTAGCTTGACCCCGCCAAACTTCTGTCCCTACTTCCCATGGCTCCTAGAGACCATGAGGCAACAGAAAGGAGGACAAGTAGTGAAAGAACGGGACAAGTGCTAAAGAATTCCCTAAGGGCCCTTCACTAACAGATCAAAACAGAACCAACAGCTATTTCACAGAATACTAGGACTGGAAGGGACCGCGAGAGGTCATTGAGTCCAGTCCCCTGCCCCCATGGCAGGACCACAGAAAGAGCAGACTGGAATGGAAACACAGTAGCCTAGACAATATATGAAAGTTGTTCAGCAACCAAGAATTTTGATCAGTGATATACCTCTGTTACCTTGAATGGATGGAATTAACTCAATAGTCTTTTCCAGAGTAGCGCATAAGAGACTGCATATGAAAACCATGGTTTTTCAGTCAGCCTAATCACTTGGACCTTAAAACCATCATACTGCACAGTTTGGAAGGCCTATAAAGGTGCTTTTTTATTGTTAAATATACATCCAGGATACATTTCAGGAGAGAAAGTGTAATTTTCAAGCATGGGGAGGGAGCCAATACTGGCCCTATCAATCCTGACATTGTTGCTTTTAATAAAAATAGAATGAAAATATCCAGCTACTTGGGACACTTCCCCCTCCATAAAATAAATGAAAGCTTGAAGTCTTCATGCTACTTATTAGTAATGCACAGTGACACGGAGATGGGTACAGGCCCCTTAAATTGTCAATAATAGTAATAATAATTGCCTTTACCACACAGCTGCAGTTGCATATGCTGCTCCTGCCTTGACAATTTCTTTGCACTCTCCTTTGAGAACTTCATGCACCAGACTTTCCAACACTTCTGCAATGTCCTTAAAATACACACATAGGAGAAAATATTGAGAAACAATGTTTGATATTTACACAGGATTGCACACATGTGTAATTTTGAGGCAGGAATCTTTAGAATTTGTGAACTTATATGTTCACAAATACATAGTTAGAAAACCTATCTTTGTACTTCTAAAGAAAGGAAACAATATGGAAGTCAAGACAATATGGAACTCCACTTCGGCCTTTTTTTAGTTTCTTTCAATATAATGGAAGTGCAAAACATTAACTCCACCAAAAAAAGAAAAGCAATTCCCAAATTAAATCGGGAAAAAAACCCTGATTTTTCTTAGTATCTCAAATGTTTAATATTTTCAAGTATAATTTTTCATTCAAGGGTTAGTTTCAGTGGTAACATTAATAAAATCAATCTTATTTAATTAAATAGCAATTGTCATCTCAATGCATAGAGCCCTGCGTGGATATACAATTCTCTCCGCAGATGCAGATATCCACAGATAGAAAAATTAGTATCCACAGATCTGCAGGGCTCTACTCTCGAGAAACACAATGTCTAAATGAGAATAACATGATGCTGCCACTCACAGGAGCCAGTGCCCCATATTGGCAGCTCCTCCTGGCCATTTAGCTGTACTGACCGCAAGCAGGAGACATGGTTTGGGATAAGGCTAGGGGCAGAATAGAAGCATGGCTGGAAGGCGCTGATGGCATGAGATGCTGGCTCCTAGGAGCAGACGCACGATAGTCTCATTTAACTGCTGTGGCTCTTAAGAGAGGAGCCCCATGGATCAGAGGATACTCATTTCTATCAGCAGATATCCACATCAATGAATAGAAATTTGTATCCATGCAACCACATCTGAGGAAGAACAGGGCAATAGGACTATACCATGCAGTACTACACAACAGTTTAAGATACTCATTGAAGAACATCACCAAATCCAATTAAAACTGCAAGAGGATATGACGGCAAATAGTTTATAATCACCCAAACTGCTGTATGTCCATGACTGCAAGTCAACACCAATATCCTTGTGAAAAGGACCCCCCTGTCATAGGTCTCATCCAAAAAGGGACATGCTGCTGTTCTGGGGACTGATTTAGTAATTGATTCACTAAAATAAAGTGCCTCCTCTGAAACAGTACTTGCTGCTCCTAGCAGAAAGAGGCAGCAAGCAAGTGTGGGGGAAGAGAAAGGGGTGCTTCTCTCCACAGCATTTCAAAGCAGCACTGCCACTTTGTAATGCCACGGGGAGCATGGAGCCAGGGGGGACTGCTTGAGTCCCCCACTAGCCCTGTGGTCCCCGCAGGCCTTTCACCTTTGAAGTATATCAACAGCCTTGGGCTGTTGATACACTTCCAAGGTGGAAGTGCCCTTATCGAATAATCAATGCAAATTACATTGACTATTTGATTAGCTAAATAATCAAAATTTTACATTCCTACTCTGAAAAACAATCAATAGTTTTTGCACCACTGCAAGTTTACATTAGAGGTTTCCCATCTAAACATTAGCCATACACAATCGTGGTTAGCCTTAGATATTTGACAGTCATAGTAGGAGGTAACATTTTCTGCATGACTCATCAGATATTCAGCTGCCATTATTAACTGGAACCAAATTTCCCCAAATGGCACAATGAAACTGAACCCAAGTTTCTCTCTACGAAAGTGCAGGATAATAATTCATTTAACCACCTAGATCTCTGGACCAGTAACTTTCTCTGGTCTCTTATCTTAATACAAAGATTCACAAACAGTGAAGACATTATCCGATTCCAGTATCAACAATTATGTCACAAAAGGACAACTGAAATTATACAGTCAATATGCATTTTTCCAGAGCTGGTTGTTTTTAGGAGCAATGTCTCTTACCATGTCTGTGTACCTAGGCAGAGGGTCTGAAGGTGGAAGCTCAGGCTGCACAACAGGCTGAAAGGGGGACTGTACAGCAGCAGGCAAAGATGCTGGAGGACGAGGGAACAGTGGAGGCAAAGGGTGAGCTGGAGGTTGGACTTGCATCACTGTCCCATCAGGCTCCATGCCCTTCTCTTCCGTCCTTCCTTCTACAGGAAAACATCAAAACCAAACAGCATCAGTCTGCGTAACTTAACTGACTGCAGTATTTTCTCTCAAAAGTTGGCATACTTGATAAACTGCATTAAATCAGAAAAATGAGCTCTTATGATGGCCCAGTGCACTGTAATAAATAGTAAACATTGGAGTTTGCATCAGATTACATGCTCTACTAACTGACAATTTATTTAGGATACAAAGACTATTTTAAAGACTAGGAAGGAATGAGCTTGAGAATTCCATGTGCACTCTAGTGTGCTGTATGCGCACTAAACACACAGCTTGTTTTAAGTGTTAATCAATATTTGCATTTTGTCCAACACAGCAGAGGTGTAAACTCAAAATATTTGAAACAAAATGCATTCACTTTAGAAATGGGCAAATAATTATAACATTTATTTAACTGGGCCTCACTTTCTACGTGCAACTTGTCTGCAAGGAGTTCATTTTATTCTTGAACCAAATCTCAGTTTATAAATGATTCACAAACATTTTGCTGCACATGTTCAGGACTGAAGGTTCTACTTTTGTTGGTTTGTTTCTGAATGGAAACAAGGTGTGGTTCCTACTCAATAACTGGCTGAGTGAAACATTTTAGATCAGGTTTCACTACAAATGCTCATGGTGGGTAGCCCAAAATTTGATTTCCATTAATACATTTGCTGTTTTGAGGACACAAATTTTGTTTGCTAGAATACAGGTGGAATGGAGACCCCTGAAGCAAGTTGTGGTTTCTATTTCATTTAACATCTATGCAAAATTCTCACAAAATGGGAAAAAGCAACAAACTTGAGAAGACATGAACTTTCTGGGCAGCATTTCAGATGCTGGCCTTGTCCACATGCTCTTACCTAGCACGTTCGCATGGGCTTTCTGGATACTGCTGGCTGGCTCCCCAGCAATACTCGCTCCTATGTACCTGTTCTGCCCACTGAAGCTACAGATAGGTACATGGCAAGTTACTGGAGGTAATGCTCCTCCATTTACAATTTCTCCAACAGATGCAGTTAGCTTCTGCTTAATAAACAATGATTTTCTTGGTTTGGGCAATCCTTCAGATTCCAGGAAAGCTAAGCGATTCAGCTCCACATATCTAGTGAAAAAAAAACCAAACACACAATCAACGAGTATCCCATACAAACCCAAGAGACAGGGAATGAGATAAAGCATTCAGATTTTTTATTATTCTGCTCTTCTTTCCACCCACCTAATTCCATAACAATTATAAAAAATACAATTAACTTCTCTGAAGATTATTTCTGTTTTGTTTCTCTTAAAAAGCTTAAAATATGACATAGGATGATAAACATAAAACAAGTCGTTTTAATGAAAGCCTTCCACTCTCAGAATATAAAAGTACTTTTTGCATTTATTACAGCAGATATTGACTGCAACTTCATTTTTCCCATTAGAGGAGATCTAGTCTCAGAAAAGACTAAAAAAGTCAAAGAAACTTTTCTACGAGGCTATACACTTATTACTTGGCCCAAACACAGTGTTTGAATTGTACTACATGCCACATGAAATGTCTTTCCCTTATCGCAGCTCAAAGAGGGCTTTAAAATGAAAAAAACAAAGCATATGCAACGCTGTGACAATTTCCAAATTCTAACTCAGTGAAAGCAGGGCTCAGATGGAGCAGGGTTGTATCAGGTTGGCAATTTAGTTCTCTTCATACTCCACTTCTGTTTTTTTTTTTTTTTTTAAGATTGTGGGAAATAAGAAGTCAATCTCAGCTTTCTTTAGAAAACAAAACTCTAGTTCTCATGGTGTTGTATATATTACAAAAGTTGCACTACAAATCCACTTGAATTTGAGCTAAGAACATTAGAACAGCCACCCTGGGTCAGACCAACTGTCCATCTAGCCCAGTATCCTGTCTGCCAGCAGTGGCCAATACCAGATGCCCCAAATGGAGGGAACACAACAGGGAAATCCTCACGAGATCCCTCCCCTGTCACCCATTTCCAGACAAACAGAGCCTGAGGACACCATTCCTACCCAGCCTGGCTAATAGCCATTGATGGACCTAACCCCCAGGAATCTATCTAGCTCTTTTTTTGAACTCTGTTAAAGTCCTAGCCTTCACCTCATCCTCTGGCAAGGAGATGCAAAGGTTGACTGTGTGCTGAGTGAAGAAAAACTTCCTTTTGTTTGTTTTAAACCTGCTGCCTATTAATTTCATTTTGTGACCCCCTGGTTCTTATATTGTAGGAATAAGTAAATAATTTTTCCTTACTCACTTTTTCTACACCAGTCACGATTTTATAGACCGCTATCCTATCTCCCCCCACCTAACAGGGTACGTCTACACTGCATTCCTCTTTCGGGAGAGGAATGCAAATGCAGCAGAGCGAAATGGCAAATGAAGCATGGATTTGAATTTCCCGAAATAAAAAATACTGCATAGACGCAGTTATTTCAAAAACAAACCCTTCTTTCAAAATAACCATTAAACCTCATTTTATAAGGAGTAAGGATTATTTCGAAAGAAGGGTTTGTTTTTTAAATAACCGCGTCTACGCAGCGTTTTTTATTTCAAAATAGGTTATTTCAAAAAAGCGGCTGGATGCAATTACGCAAATGAAGCATGGGAAATTCAAATCTGCACTTCATTTGCATTCCTCTCTCGAAAGAGGAATGCAGTGTAGACATACCCGTAGTCTCCTCTCTTAAGCTGAAAAGTCCAAATCTTTTTAATCTCTCTACATATGGGACCCATTCCAAACCCCTAATCATTTTTGTTGCCCTTTTCTGTATGCAGTATTCAAGATGTCGGTGTACCATAGTTTTATACAGAGGCAATAAGATATTTTCTCTCTCATTCTCTATCCCTTTAATTATTCCTAACATTCTATTTGCTTTTTTGACTGCTGCTGCACAGAGTGGATGTTTCCCTATCTAGTTAAACTGATGCAAACGTGCAAAGTAGATGTGTTTAACGCTTAATTCAGTAATTTACAGATGTAAACTAAACTACATTAAAACACTAATTTAGAGCTTTCTATTTGTGCCATATGTCCTCCAGCTTCAAGGCAGAGCTCTCTCCCCCTTGCCTAACTCACACTAGATCAGCCCTTAGATTTGTGGAGGAGATTTATGAAAGGCACTCTCTCCCTAGGCTAAGCATGCTGCCTTCACAGCACTCACAGCACATGGTGCTTCAAAAGGAGAACCCCAAATGCACATATTTATAAGTTATAACAACAAATGCACTAAACAACTGTGGAGTTAATGCCCCAATGTCATTATATGAAGGGTTGAATTTCACAAAGTGCTCGGCATTGGCTTAACTTATTTTCCATTTAAGTCAATGGCAAAACTCTCTCTGACTTAAATGGCAGCAGCATCACCAGAGGGTTAGAGTTCACAACAGGAAGAGACTACAATGTGATCAGGTTGTCTGATTGCCTGTATAACAAAGGCTATATAACTCCCCCCAAAGCAATTCTTTTAAAACTGAACAAGTCTTTAAAAAAATCCAGTCATGATTTAATTCATGTTTCTCTCCTTGTACCAAGCTGCAGCTCTCATATTGGATCACAGATGTGTTTTACAGCAGTGAGCACAACAGTGCCCTGCATGAAGGTTCTGGGCACTAACAAAATATAAATTCTCGTTGCCTCTTACCCATCAGATACACTCAAGCCGTAATAACTTATAAAATCAGTTGCTTCTTCGCAGTCTCTGAACAGCAGCATGCGAACCAAGTTATCCAGAGGAAAGACAGTGGATCTCTGCGTGCTGACAGTATAGGCAATATTAAGAGACTTTAGTGCATCTCTGCGAATCTAAGGAGGAAAAAAAAAGCCAAATAGCTATTGAACTTCAGTCAGACTTCATAAAATATGGATCAGACAGAGCTGTTCTTTACACCTAGAAAATTAAGTGGGCACAGTCAATAAGAAAATCAGTATTGAAAAATTATACAATTAACACCATCTTCAATCATTCAAAAAGAAAGAATTATGTTTGTTTTTCTTTTCATTTTACACACTGGTTGCTTTTTAGCTTTTGCTCATTATGGATAGTGAATCAAGCCTGCCCTCTTACGCGTGTTTTCTTTTGTTTGTCCTGCATTAGCCCAAGAGCCTAAGGATTTCCAACATTAAAGCACTGACATTTTCCCAAACAAGTCAAGAACAATCTGCATTGCACCTACCACAATGGGGACCCTGATCTGTGACCTGGACTTCTACACACTAAGGGTGTGTCTAGACTACATGCCTCCTTCGACGGAGGCATGTAGATTAGCCAGATCGGAAGAGGGAAATGAAGCCGCGATTAAAATAATCGCGGCTTCATTTAAATTTAAATGGCTG